ATTTCATTTCTTGACCCCCCCCCCCCCACTCAGGAAGATGGGGGATGGTTAGGGGCTCTGATGGGGCCGCCGGGCCTACGATCAGTCATGCATCGTCTGATTTCCAGGTCTGAGTGCTTTGAAGACCGCATCTTAGAGTTGCTGGTGTGCTATCAATTGATCTTGCAGGCCCGTACATTATCATACGCAGCTGCTTATGCTGGAACAAGGTATGCACTGGTGGCAGTGTTTCGCATAGATCAAAATACCTAGTTGTACTATGAGGTCCGTGAAAAGAAGGTTACGGCATGAGCAGCTCTCTTGAGAAGCCTCCTGGTTCTCAGAAACCTCTTGAGAGGCCCGAAGCGATGAGCCAGAGCTCCGACTGCATCCAAATCGACGCGGACGTTTGATGACTTCTTACGGCGGGGAGGCCCCGCCATGAGACTGTCATCGTCATCAGGTGCCCTTTGTCTGTCCCAGACTGTTGCAGGCACGTCTGATCAGCGCAGCTCTGCATCCGGAGGCCATCAGGGCCAGGGGTCCCGTTGAGGGCTTCGCAGATGTCTGGAGCGTTTTATAGGGTTCGATGCGGTTTCTACAGATCATAGGGATCGGGCCATGGTGTTGTCTTCACCAAGGCCAACTTGAATGTACCTCTCTCTCAAGACAAGATTTCAACGAAAAGGAGCTTCTGCATGCTGCCAAAGAGGAACTCTGAGAGCTGGTCCCGCCAGGCGGAGAGCAACCTCCTCCTCAAATCCTTCACTGTGCTCGGAGTCTGCGGCTTTCAGGGTGGCTCCACCTTCTTGACATCACTCAACGTGAAGGCTGACAACCAAGCAGCGTGTTCGTTGCACTGCTGATGTGATTGCTACTGCGGAGGTTCACACACTTTGACTCTGCACGATGCTTAGGATCGTCCAAAAGCTCGTGAAACTGGGCAGGAGCTGCTGTGTGCCGTCTGCACAACCTGTGGGCACCGTCACCGCATCGAAGCTGGTCGAGCAGCAACGCCAAGTGCCATGCTCAGGGCTCCAGCGGTGCAGCAGTGGAGATGTCGACATCGTGGTCCGATATGATATTCTTCAATGATGTAGTATATACTCTACGAAATTGTACAAGACTACACCATAGTATAGCATATGCTACATCATTTAGAATATAATATATACTGTATTACACTATGGTCTATTACATGCTTTCTCTTCCCTTCGCACGGATTTTGGGATCTTTTGAGGCGCCGACTCCTTGGGTCCGCCGGCGAGGCGGCGGCGAGTCCAGGCCATTCCTATAGGGTTTAGGGTTTAGGGTTTAGGGTTTCCTGCCTGCGCTGTGCGACGTTCCGGCCGTGCATGGGTGTATCAGGGTTTAGGCTTTAGGGTTTATAAAGGGTTTTTAGGCTGCTTCTTCGGAACTCTGGGCCCTAGCAGCAGCAGATGTGGCAGAGCATACTTGCGGCATCTTCAGTTCAATTCTGTGCAACAGCCAGCTGGACCAGATGCTTCGTCTGACAGACCTTGCACTGACTACCCAGCAAGTGTCAACTGTTTTGCATGAGCATAACAGAGGCCCTTGCTAAGCACATGGGCCTGTTTAGTGTCGATTGAGCCAGCCTGTGCTTTGCCAAGCAAAGACCCAGATCCGGCTGCTCGGCTGCAGGGAAGATGTCGGATGGCATCATGTTACCATCCCCACATGTGCAACATTCTACATCTAAGGCTCTGAGGCTCACGATGTCAGCTGCAGAACTGTTGGGTTCAACCGCGGCATTTGCGCAAGGGAACGAAAACGAAGCTTGGCTTAGTTTGGCACAAGTTGAAGCATGTTGAATCAGCAGCACAGCACCTGCACCAACGCTGAGGTCATACTGGATATCTTCAAGAGGTGGGATGAGGACGGGAATGCAACCCCCCCGCAGCAACGTGGCAAGTCGATCGCCCTTTAAGCTCGGAAGGGGTCCCTGGCAGCGCTTCCAGGATCACAGTGGGTATATCGATCGCGACGAGCTAGCCAGCATCATGTACAAGGTGCCACACTTCAAAGCTTTGCAAACTCCTGGCTGTGTGCCGAGACGATGATCAGGTGTCTCCGAGTCTCAGCCAGGACCAGAGTCTTGACTGCACATGTTCGGACGCCACATCGGCAGACTTCATTTCGTGCTCGTTCTGATTTCATCGCTGTCGTTGACTTGTCAGCAGCTGTCCTTATGCTGATTCCGTAGTTTGCAGGCACGAGGGGCACCCACCCCTAAGACGGGCTTTCCAGTCTGCCGCAAGCGTAAGGATCGACGTGCTACTGGGGTGCATTGACAGCAACCTCGATGGTGTGGCTTGTCATGTCAACCTTATTTCCACACTTCTGTTGTCTCCCCTGGCAGGAGTGATTAACTCTCGATGTGGTCATGTTACGCCTCTTCCCCCTTCCTCTTGCATGGTCTGCCTTCAATTAACCTGCTGCCATGTCTAGTCCGCACTACTCGGAATCTGTCGCATGGCGTTAGTATGCTGACGGCCGTGGACGTTTCACAGCTTCTGGTGCTTGCATTGGACTTGGAGCTCGTATCAGCACGGAGGATTATTGCCGCGCCTTACAGGGTGATGCAGGTGAGGACGTGGAGCCAAGCTTCTCTTTACAGGCCCTTGAGTCGTCTCCGAACAAGCATTTCGATGTCATGCAGTGCTTTGCGTGGTACATTTCCAAGCGCATACACCTCACCGTTCGTCAGAGCGGATCATCGTGGTAGGGAGTTTCTTTGTCAAAGAGTTTGCTGGGAGAACCGTCCTCTCCTAGACAGGATCTGGAAAGAAACGCCCTTCACCATGAGCTGGGATAACGTAGTGGATTACAAGAAGCCGACTAGCTTCCACAGCATCGCCCTGTGTGACCGGGCGATGCTGTGGAAGGTGGTGGTGTTCGCGAGCGGGTGATACCGTGCATTATGCGTACAGCATGAACTACCCATGTGAGACCCATGGAGCCAACATCATGGATTGGGGGATGTGGGCCGATCCGAATGATCGGCAGAGTCGTGCATACTGGGTCGACAAGAGCTTGGAACGGTCGCAGAATGACGGGTGCGTGGATTCGATGGAGCGCCGCCAGAGGATTTGGGAGGTCGCTGGCAATGCCCTCTACACCAAACCATATCGCTGCGACCCGGAGAATCTGATCAATTATACACTCCTCGCGTCTCTAGGCCTAGATGAGCTGTGGGTGAATCACTTCATGAACAAGGGGAGGATCTCACAAGAGCAGGTGCCGAAGCACCCGGAATGCACAAAGGACAACGTGGGGCTTTCGGTGTTTTCTTCGTTGATGGGCCTTGAAAGCCCCTTCCAGCGAAGCTCCACCTGTGTGACCTTTGCCTGGACGTATGATCCCATGTTCCGAGGAATGGATTTTGCGACGGGCGTGCATTCCGGTTTTTGGCCCAACTGTTGTCTGTGCTGCAAAGAAGTTTTGACTGGGGAGCTCCTCAGGAGCCCCTTAGGTCCATCCTTGCCTGGGACTTATCTTGCGTTGTAACATTCCCAACCCTGAACCCCTCTATCTTGAACCACCAGTGTCTAACGGCCTGAGGATTCTGCACTAGCCCGATGGGGCCTCTGCATGCATGACTCAAGGGTTACAGGGTTTCAGGTCTCAGCTTACAGTTGGCAAATATGTTATGCCTAAACCACCCGGGCAGAGGGACGCCGAGGTCGGTTGAAGATTTTGACAGGAAGCTCTTCAGGCCCTGGGGGTTCAGAGTCAGAACATGCGATCGACAAGGAACCTCCCTGGCCATCCGTTCTTAAGACCGTCGTCCGTGTGAGCTCAACCTGGTATTTGTTGCTATTGTTGGTAGGGATTCCAACGTCAAGCCGAGGTCATTGACTATCGCGAATTTGTGGGCTGGCTTACAAACAGGCTGCCTGCCGACATTGCTGGCTTCGTTTATGGCAGGCGAAAAGACCGAGCAATTTTTAGGCAGGCTAAGGGAGATAGCTCTGGCTCAGCTGAGGCTAGCCCAATATACAGTTGGGGATGACGGATGGATCACCGATTTCGACTTGAAGGGGCTCCTGAAGCCACTTTTCGAAATCTGGGACAAAGATGGCTCAGGCGAAATTACGAGGCCCCCGCTTTGTCCGCCACCTTAAGCTGCACATGACGATTGTTGACATTGCTGAGCATTCTGGCATTGCTTGAGAAGCTTCATCTGCCGTTATATATTTTTTGTTATATATTATATATTATATACTATATACTATACTACATACTGTATGCTAGCTATATTATGTCCAGGCTTCGAGGTCTTGGGGCTTGGCATCTTGATGCACGAACAAGTGAATTTCTGAATACTACTGGCCGAGAACCGCAGCACCTTTTCGTCTTCTTTCCTTGGCAGGGAAGAGTTCAACGAGCTGTCGCAGATTCTGCAAAACTCACTGCGCACCTCTGGCGGCACAGAGATCCAGGACCAGAGCATTCAAGAGCATAGTGTTTAGGGTTTAGGGTTTAGGGTCTAGGGTTGGTAGGATGCACTTCTGTGCCGAGGACTGCATCCTCTCGTGCCTAGGATGCATCCGGATACCAACCTGCCATGGCGATAGTCCAACAAGCTGCAAGGTCTCAACAGTCCAGTTTGATGTCGCCTCTGCTTCACGCGGGCCCCTATAAACCCTCAACCCTAAACGCCTTCCCCCCAGTTGATGGAACGTTCGTGGAATCTGCTTAGGCCAAAGGAGATGTCCTTGTAGTCGTCACCAGCTCAGTGCTCCATTGCGTCGGATGCTGTATGTCAGTGATGTCTACCCATCGTCCTTTGGTGTGCACCTAAAGATTTGCAATCGAAGGACTTCGAAGTCAAGGAGTTCGTGTCTTTGGATGAGTTTGTATCGTGCAGTGCTGAGCTTGGGTCTCCGGGTCAGGGACTTCTCATGGCAGAGCAGGGCCATTCCGAAAATCTGTTCGGTCGTTTCCGTGTGCAGCGGAAGGTTCTGCTCATTTGAGGTGGCAGTCCGGGGTCCTGCAGAGATCTGGCGTCCCGAACAACAAGCTGCCAGAGTTGATTCACACGCTCGCAGTTCCTTGGCAGCGATGGGATTTGAGGTGGTGGAGTCTCCCTGACATGTCGATGAGGAATCACTTCAGTGCATCTTCGACATTGAGCAGATGAATCAGCAGGCATGCTGAAGAAGTGAGCCGAAACTCATTTGTCCTTGAGCTTATGCATGACCGGGCGTGTGGCAGGCCGCGACAGGCGTCGACAAGACGTTCTCCGCCTTGTCGAACACTATCCAAGTTGCCGCAATCTCGGGCATATTTCAGCAACGAATCACTCACAAGGTTTTTTTTGCCAGAGTGGTTTCGCGCATCATAAGCGAAACCACCAACACAAGCGTCTGCTGTGCGTTTTCGCAGCCGGGCTCAGAAGTCATGTGCTTGCAACAATACCGACTTGGTCTAGAGTTACACAGGTTCGCAGCAGGTGGACGCGGCAACTGCACGAGAATGCTGCGTGCGTTTGCGACACTTGATGTGCTGAACACGAACGACAAAGTTTATGATATTGTTTTGTAACACTGCCTGTTCGAAGGTTGAGTTTTTGTGCTCATAGCACACTGCGTCTGGCTGAACTCTTGTGAATGCTTTGGGCTGGAACTTGTCCCCCACTTGATGCGTAATTCCGATGCCCTAAGGTTTCCATTGTATTTGCATGAACAAAAATGTCTCTCTCCGTTGGCATCCAGTGACCTTCTGTCCAGTTGGTCTTCCCTGCAATTGCGAGTTGCTTGTGTCACGCAGCAACCGGCTGTCTCCTGCGATCTAACTTTCGCTCCGTGCTTGTCACATAACGCGTTATCATGCCTGCCGCGAATTACCCACCGCAGAGCCACAAAGCAAGCACATCTTTCGAATTCCCCGCCCACATAAATAAGGATAGCCCCTCCTCTCCTTTATGCTTCACAGCACTGGCATGTTTCCAGGGACCAGAGAACTGTAATGCGTTCTCGAAATCCAAGATGTGCTTAGTCTGCCTGCTTCCACAGGCATCAAAACACTCAGCCTCCCTGCTCCTCAACGTCAAGCCCCCGCTTTCCATATCAACGGGCATAACTCGCAGCATCTGGTGCCAAGGTGTGTGCATAGTGAAAACATTGCCAAACCTCATTCAAAACCAGATTGTACGTTCTCCCTACTGCGTTGAAGCCTCCTTTATTTATGCTTTCCACGCTTTCCTGGCACCTTAGGTGGCCCAGACCACGCGCCAGCTCTATGCTCCGAAGCTCAGTGAGGTACCTGCAGATGCGCAGGCCCGCCTTTCGACTCACGGCCTTGATGGCGCGTGTTGAGGATGTAGAACAGGATTGGCCAGCCTCTGTGGCAATCTCAGCAAAGCCAGCTCCAAGCGCCTTGAAGCGAAGAGAGGTCCACCAAGAGACTTGTGAGTTTCGAAGTCGGCCAGGTGCGGCGGATCATGCAGTCGGCTGCAAGCCATTGGACTGCCCCGCAACCTGCTTCAAACGGCCTTCTCTGATCCTTTTCGATCTTCTTACTCAGCCAGTGAAAACTACAAAATCCAAAGCCACAAAGGTGCGAAAAAGAGTGGCGGGCCCTGAAATTTTGGAAAAAATGAGCCGAAGGCCGAACCTCGTGGACATGCAGCTGCTCGCTCGGACCTTCGCCAAGGCTGCCCGCTGCATGTGCGAACGGGGCTTGAAGAGTTACCAGTTACTAGTCCTTTCGGATTTCTTCATCTCATACCCCAAGACCTTATTGTAATTCTAACTGTTAAAGACCCTTAGATCACGCTGAACCCGGAGCCCCAAACTCTAAAGCCGAGCTGTTCTTCGATCGTGAACGCCTTCTTTTGCAAAGCCGCGGAAGGCGCACGGGCTCCGACCTCTGGGCACCTTGCCAGCGTTTCGGAGAATTCCTGCCGCATGCGTTGTCTCCTTTTGCTTCAGGTTCCTGGTTGCTTTCCCAAGGCCTCCACCCTAAAATCCTAATTACGCCCGAAACCCTAGAGAAACCCTGCGCCCTCTACAGATCATGCTGTGGAACAAGGCCCTCAAGCAACAATAACCCTAAGCCCTAAGTGGTCTCAGGATTTGAGTCGTCCTCTCCATCGCGGTCGCCACGAAAGAAGCTTACCTCCCCGACCTCCTCGGCATCTCGGCGGCGCGAGCTGAGGTAGAAGCTCTGAAAGTGCTGGTTAGGAGTCCACATAACTCATTCTGCAATGTGGATCATGCTATGTTGAGTTTCCCAGTTTCTGCAACCTCTCTGTAACCAGGGGGCCGGTTGCTGTCGAACCTAAGCACCCAAGGTTCGGCCGCGCACAAGGCTCGGTGGGTTTCGATTCGGACTGTTCCAGATATCCAAGGTCTCTAACTGCGATTTAGCTCTGAGAGCCGTGTAGCAGAGCCTGTTCATGGTGACACAGTCGCCGGTTTTGAGAGCGCGGAGCTAGAATCCTAGCCGCTCGAGCCGTTGCAGCCCGGCATCGCAGGCGCAGTGTTCGGACGCAGGTTCAGGAGAGGGCTTTGAGTGTATGAGGGTAGTTCTCTAAATTAGGGTCCCCTTTTCTGGTCCTTTTTATAAGGGTGCCGTACTATATTGGGGACTTAAAAAGGGACCCTAATCTAGAGAACTACCCATGAGCATTCTTTTCACCTTTTTCTAGGTGTTTTGCCATCCTCAGACATGGCCTCCCAGAGGAGTCGCTGGGGCAGATCGTGCTGGTCGTCCCTGCTGTGAATGATGGACTAGCTCAGGCCGAGAATGGTGTTGGTCTTGTTTCGTGTCAGTTGCGATCCAAGATCCTGTTTAGGGTTTAGGGTGTAGGGTTTAGGGTTTAGGGTGTAGGGTTTAGTTTAGGGTTTCGTGACTACATTCCTTTGCTTAGACTTGGCGAGGCAATTTGATCACGGTTGATCGCTGTTTCCCCGTGGGTTTTTGCTCGAAGCGCCTTGGCAGGTCCCGAACTGGTTCGCGCAAGTGGACAGAACTATCTTTGGAGAGGGAGCAGCAAAAGCCTCTAGGCTTGAAGAGTCCTTTAAGAGCAGAATGGGCCTACAGAGTATGCTATGCGGCGGCTACGCCTGGAAACAGGGTTTGGCGTATTGCTGATATTGGCTGATTTTGACTGTTGGCTGTGAGCTGTCCAGCTGCCGGATGAGCTGAGGACATTCTTCTGTACGAGTTGGACTGGGTGTTCACTCTTTTGCTTGCTCGTGACTGCATGAGGAGTAGGAGAGGGCACAGGAAACCACAGCACTAGGCGGCGTAGATTTGAGAGCGCCTGCAGGAAGAGGTAACCACAATCTCGAAAAGTAATGATGCCCAGGGATCAGGGATGGACATGGGACATCAGCGCTAACAGCAACGATCGCGTACTTGTATACGCACAAAGGTTTATTTTGCATGTCTTGATTTCTGTCTGCCTGTCTGCCTGTCTGCCTGCCTGCCTGCCTTTTTGTCTTTCTGTCTGCATTTACGTATCTTTGCCCGTATGTCTGAATATCTGCCTGCCTGCCTGCCTGCCTACTTGCCTGTCTGTCTGTCTGGCTGTCTGTCTGTTTGTCTGTCTGTCTGTCTGTCTTTCGGTCTGTCTGTCTGTCTGTCTGTCCGTCCGTCTGTAGGTCTGTAGGTCTGTCTGTCTGTCTGTCTGTCTGTCTGTCCGTTCTCTCTGTCTGTCTGCCTGTCTATCCGTATCTACGCATGTACGCATGCATGTACCATGCATGCATGTATTATATATATATATGTGTGTGTGTGGGTACGTTCATGTGTAAGTGTGTGTACGTATGTAATGTAATGTAATGTAATGTAATGTAATGTAATGTATTGTATAATGAAATGTATATTGTAATGTAATGTATAATGTAATGTAATGTGTAATGTAATGTGTAATGTAATGTAATGTGTAATGTAATGTGTAATGTAATGTGTAATGTAATATGTAATGTAATGCAATGTAATGTATAATGTAATGTATAATGTAATGTGTACTGTAATGTGACCTAACGTAACGTAATGTATCGTAAGGCAACGTAAAGTAAGGTAAGGTAATGTAATGTAAAGTGAAATGTAATGTGATGTATGTATGTACGTACGTATACACGTTACATGTATACATATGTATGTTTGTATGAAGGAAAGAAAGAGCAAGCACGAACATGAGCACACCACCAGCCAGCATGTGAATACAACCGGACATGCAAGTCTGGGTATAGGCATAGCTGCCAAGTATCGTTATAAGATTGAAATACATACACAAGAACCGTAATGTGAACCTAATCACTATGTTACTGCATGCATATGTACGTACATGGCATAAGCACATGTAGTGTGTGTGTATATATATATATTTATGTACATATACATATAGACATATATGTATGTATGCATATATATATATACATACATGCACAAATATATACATGCATACATATGTATGTATATATATAATATGTATATGTATATGTATATGTATATGTATATGTATATGTATATGTATATGTATATGTATATGTATATGTATATGTATATGTATATGTATATGTTTGCGTATATATGTCTATATGTATATATATATATGCATATGTATGTGTATATGTATGTGTGTGTATATATATATATATGCACACGTACACGTGTATAACTCTCTGCACAGACTGCTGGGTGCTTCTGTCGCGCAGTGCTCTTTGCTTCGAGCGAGGATAGAACTGGCATCATCCCTGCCTGGCGTCTGGTGAAGGCGCGAAGCTACCTTTGGCACTGGCAAGTTTTGGGTTTGGGCTTGTTGGGCTCCAAATGCTGCATGCTTGAGATGTGAGATTTTAGGAAGCCGATCTTGCGCTTGGAGCTTGGAGGATGATGCTCACTTTCGCGACTCCATGGAAGCACTCCCAAAGGAGACTTGCAATGTGCTGTGATTGAGCAGAAACCTGGTAGCAGAGGAAGTAGGGGGCCGATGAGCGGCTTCGGAGTCAGGCTGCCCATGGCTTGTGGTAACGAGACGGTGCCCGTCTGTTGTACTTATGCTGGTATCCAAAGAGAAGATTGTTTGTCTGAAACTCTCTTGGTCAGGCCGATTAATTACCACCTTTGTGTTTGCGTGCTATCGCAGATTATGAGGGATCCAAGCGGCTTTGCAGACAAGCATCATAAACCCTAAACCCTAACTCCTAAGCCCACCAAAAAGGGCGTGTGCTGTGTGTGTGTGTGTTTTTTTTTTAAAGTGTGCCCAGGCTGTAACAAACGAAGGCCATGCGATCAAAGCCTCGATCGAGCGGATC